AGATTTATAAAAAAAAGTCCTTTGCCTCGGGTACATATACCGCCACGTTTTGGAAATAGCTCAAAACAAAACGAAATTGAACGAGGCAACAGAAAAAGCCAAAAAAATCCCTCCACGCCCTCCTCACTAGTAGTTTTCAGGCGCTTTTAAGAATAGAAAGTAGGTCGAGACAAATCGAAGTATCTAATCCCAAGTAGCATTTTCACGACTTGCGACTTGCGACCACATGTTTACTAAACACAACGGTGGATTAGTTACAAAAAATAGTTAGCTCCGTTCCTTGGGTATTAAAATAAATGTAAACGTTGTTGTAACGTTGTGCCGACGTTGAACTAGTACTACAACAAAGTAAAAGCTTCTGCGACGTCGAATAAACGTTGTCTTGTAACCTTTTTTACTTAAGTGATATTTAGGTGATTAGGACAACGTAGTTACAATGTTGGGCAATAAAGAGTTTTCCGACGTCACTTTCAGGACCTATTCCAACGTTATGCAAACGTCGTCTGTTTTACTAATTCCAACGTTGTGTTTAGATTTCCTTATTCTTACGTTGGTAGGACGTCGAGCCACTACCTTTTTGCAACTGTATTGAACCATAACCTTTAATTTTCACTTCATTGTTCTGTTCAGTCAGACAGTTCAGTGCTGTTTTTGTTTTTATAAAAAAACTTAATTAAAATGGGACATAATAAAGGTACATATGAAACTAAATTTAAATATATATCGACATATTACCGATACTTCATCCACTCCCTCGTTTATTTAGATTATAGAGGGCGGCACAAGCTAGACTCTAGGATGACTAAATTAGGCAATCTTGCGACTAGTATACTACCTGTTAGGGCTGAACTGCGACTTTATTAGTCCAGGTATGCGACTACTCGAACTACTCCATCTTAATCTCCAAAACAACAAAGTGAAGAAAATATTTCGTTCCTAAAATGGCAATTTCTGCTTTTTGAATACATTAACTTGAAATATTTGACCCTAAACAACACGCGGAAACAATTTTTTCGACTGCGAATAAATTATTCTCATTTTACTAAAAAAATTCAAGACATTTTTTAAAACTTCTTTAATTTTAAGGCCCATTAGTATTTTTCAAAGTAGAAACAATACATTTATCAATAAAGTTGTTTGCGTTTAACTTTTTTGCCTTGGGTAACGAGTTACAGAGTCGGTTAAAGTTTTCGATAATTATGATCTTCAAACATCCTCCACACTTAAATACTTTTGTTTTGTTTTCCTTTACTGCCATCTGGCATATGTCTCTAACGAAATCATAAAAATAATATTTTTACTATAATTATTCCAATTTAGGATAAAACGCTACAACAACAACAACAAACAACGCTTTATTGTGCAAAAAGCCAAAACAGCTTCATCGACAAAGCACTCACAAACAACAAAATCACAAAAAAATACAAACAACAAAAAATACACAATACAAATAATACAATTCAAAAAAATTTAAGTCTTTAAAATTACAAAAAGAATATACATGGACAATTTTAGAACAGTACGCAGTAAATAGATATAATTTTAAAGTTATAGAATATTAAATACTTGACCTTTGACCAGTGTGTGAGATGATCAAAATTTTAAAATTCAAAATTGTTCATAATCAAACATCAACAAAAAGTCGTTTACCGCGTATAGGGCTCTCTCCAGTAGGTATGATTTTAGAGCCTTGCGAAATGCGGGAAAGAATGAAAGCGATTTGATATGCAAAGGCAGATGATTGTACATTTTTTGGCATTGTACAGTATTGAACCCTTAACTAGTTCTGAGCTCGGGGTTGGCAGATAAAGATCGTGCTCTGCATTCCTAAGTGGATAGTTATGAGATGGCCTTTCGGGAATGGCAGATATGTGCTTGCGGATTAAGCAAACGGATTCAAAAATGAATAAAGAAGGAAGAGTCAGTATTTTCAAATTTTTAAAGAAATTCTGGCAGTGAGTTCTACTGTTCAGTCCCAATAAATATCGAACTGCTCTCTTTTGAAGTATGAAAACACGATCAAATTTTGTTGCGCAGCAAGTACCCCCCAGAATGGAAGGGCATAACGAAGATGTGACTCAAAAAGGGCATAATAGGCTATTCTAGAGGTTGAGAAGTTAAGTTCCTTAGAAACTGATCTTAGCGCAAAACAGGCAGCGCTTAGTTTCTTTGATAGAGCTTCAATGTGAGAGTCCCATTTTAACGAGTTGTCTACAAGAAGTCCTAAGAATTTCACAGAGTCCACGACGTCAATAGTAGTGTTATTAAGTACAAAAAGGTTGTATAGTACTTTTATATGACAAAACTTTAGTTTTTGATAGGTTGAGGCATAGGAGATTAGAATCGCACCAAGACTTAATGGTGCGTAAGTCATTGGATATAGTATCATATAGCGCCGCAACATCTGGGCCGCTCCAAGTGAAACTAGTATCGTCCGCAAAGAGGCAGATTTTACCGCTAATGTCCAGATTTGCAATGTCGTTGATAAACACCAGAAACAAAATAGGGCCAAGTACTGAACCCTGAGGGACACCACATTCTATAGGCTTACAAGAAGACATAGACGTATCAATCCTCACAAGCTGCCTTCTGTTGCCAAGATATGACTTAAGCCATTCGAGCGGCACTCCCCTGAAACCATAGTATTGCAATTTGTTAATTAAGATATTATGATTTACACAATCGAAAGCCTTAGAGAAATCACAGAAAATTGTTGCTGTAGAGTAATGGTTATTCAGGCTAGAGTATACATTATTAAAAAGGTCGAACATAGCATCATTTGTGCAACTGTTACTTAGAAATCCAAATTGATGGGTAGTAAGTATTTTATATTTAAGGAGAAAAGATAGAAACCTTTTTTTTAACCAATCTTTCAATGATCTTAGATAATGTGGGCAGGAGTGCAATTGGGCGATAATTCGAAGCTTCATCTTTATCACCTCCTTTATACAGAGGAATAATTATTGCTGTCTTAAGACAGTTTGGAAAAACTCCTTTTGGAATGACTCGTTAATTAAAGTAGTAAGATGGTTTAATGTGCATTCAGGAAGTTCAGAGAACATTTTGAGAGTAAGCCCATCAGTCCCAGATGAGGATTTGTTTTTAATACTATTAATTGTACTACGGAGCTCATCTAATACTACGGGCGTGAGGAAGAAACTGTGTAAATTCTCATTTGCTTTAGGGAGATATGAAAGTGAATCATGGGAAGGAGTTATGGTGTTCACTAAATTTTTAGCCACATTAACAAAGTAAGTGTTCAAATCTTCAGGTGAATTAAAGACTGTGCCAGACGAAGAAGTCTTATTCCTTAAGTCATTTACAATAGCCCAAGTCTCCTTAGCGACATTACCGGCTTTGGCTAGCCTCGCATTATAATAAATGTCCTTGGCAGCTTTCATAGTCTTACGATAAACCTTTCTATAAAGTTTCACGTAATTATGAAAGAAGACGCTGTCCGTGAATTTCTTAAGGTGAGATAATGAGCGCATGTTCTTTGCAGATATACGCAAGCCTGTAGTAGACCAGGGTATACCTTGTTTACTTTGATAGGCCTAAGAGGAAATGCCTTGTACGCCAGATTAGACAAGGTATCCATAAATCTAGAAAATTCGGAATCGACGTCAGCCGAGAGGACAACCCACTCTGTTGTTAGACATAGGTGGTGAAAATTTAGAAAATTTTCATCCGAAAAATACGTCCCAATTTGCGCGAGGTATTTTTGCATTTGGATTTCAGCAAAAACCTTGTCAATACTGCCTCATGATCAGAGAAACCCGAGTGAAGGACTCTACAGTCAACGAATTCCGGGGTCAAAAAGACGACACGACATAGTCTATAGTACTAGAGCCAGTTTTAGTTATTCTAGTTGGTGAGTCAACATGCATGAGTATACCAAAAGAATGAAAAATGGACTGGAGAGACTCCTTAGCTGCACACACACTGGAAAAGTCAATATTCAGATCGCCACACAAAATTAATTTACTTTTTATAGGTAGGCATTCAAGCAAGCTTAGCAATTTTTGACTGAAAATATGTACGTCAGCGTCAGGTGTTCTGTAAATACAAATAATAGAGGTCAAAAGCATTATGATAAACGACGGAAAATTCAAATTTTTTTTCGGATATCAGAGTGTCGAACTTAGTTACTGCCGAAAAGTCGTTGTTAGTAGACATTATCATAGTACCTCCATGAGATGAGTTACTTCTATTGAATCTAGTTAATGTAGTGTATTTTTTGACAAATACAGACAGGCTCATCCATATTTAACCAATGTTCAGTTATGGCAACAATTTCTGGAAAATTGAGCTCTTCTAATAAAAGATATAATTCATCCGTTTTATGTCTTAAGGACTGAATATTAATTAAAAAACACTAAGCTTGCTATCGTCTAGTTTTTCAGAGGGTGCTTGATCCTCTGTTCGCGTCATTTCACCTAAAAATTTGTAGTTTTACTTGGAGAGAATTACTTGGTATGACTTTCCCTAATTCTCTGAAGCTGCTGAAGTTTCTCCGTTGAAAAGAAGGACCTGAAGGCAGAAAGATCCGCATCCACTTCAGCTGAGTCAATACCATAACCGTTGTGGAAGCGATAATACAGCCTGCGCAGGGAATCCGCTACTTAGACGTCATATTATTATAGTTTTGTATTTCTGTGAATTAGGATTTTAAACAACGTTGCAGTTTGTACTAAATTAGGCTGCTAGCCAACGTCGGTATCCAACGTCGTTTCGACCCAAAAATTATTCTCCAAACTAGTGCAGACTAGGGCTGGCACGAGGTTGTCCCGACGTTGCGCCCCGACGTTTGGTCGCGTGACACAACGTTGTCCCCACGTCCAAATGCTGCTTGGGCTCAAGACAACTGGAAATGAACCAAAATGAGACAAAGTTGGGCGACGAAACGCAACCTTGGTCTGCTTCGAAGTGTTCTCCGCATACAGCATAGTGTAGATCATGTTTAAAATTTATGCAAAATTTCATAATTAAAGATAGTGCAGTACAAAAAATTTATTTATTTCATAATTTTAAATGTTAGTGCAAATATTAATATAGGATTAAACAAACTTCATTTTACAATTAAGTAATAGTGGTATTCTTCCGTATTTTTCGTGCACATAGAAATGCATGTAACATCGCTGCCAAGGCCAAGTTTAACATATTATATAAATGTTTTCTTGATTTTTATCAATGAAGCTATCAGAAGTTTTACATTCTTCTACCATAACGTTTATAAATTATTTTTTATATCTCATTCTTCTAAAACCAGCACAAATTAAAACAAATACGACAGTCATTTGCATAACTAAGAAGATACAAAATTTAAGAATTAATTATTAAAACTCCTATTTCTAATTTATCTCACGTGAAATTACATCGCTCGTGTTCATAGTTTACTGCTTTGGTAACTACACTGCAAATTTCGAAAAATAATCACAATGACAAAAAAAAATGACACTGACAGGTGTAGTTAATTGTTGACAGGCTAAATATGACATTAATGACATTGAATGTAAACCTGAAATAATAATACCCATAGACTGCCATAGATAAATGAAAGAAGTAAATTAAAAATTATTAAAATTTTTCAATCATTTTAAAAAAGGATGAAAAATATTTTTGTTTCTTTGTTAATATCTCTGAAACAAATTATCAAAACAAATTTAATAATATCGTAGGATAATGTAAAGTGATCAGAAAGGCAGCAAAAATTGCAGTAATATACGGAGTGTTTCATTTAAAATAAATCATACCGATCTCCACTTTTTTGAGCCACACTGTAGAAGTTAAAATATTTTGCTAAAATACATCCAAGTACATACTTCAGGTTTTCTCATAAACAAAATTTCGAAGTTTTCTGTTTCTTCATTTTTATCAAAGGAGCCATCAGCATCAGTTAATGGTGCCAGGGACGCCTACTGCGTGTGGGCTCGGGTGACCCAGCACCCATGAGAAGAAGACAGTGGGTGCAAATCAGAACTATATTAGGTATTTACTTTAGATGGTCTGCACTTACTTTGCTATAAACATGGTAATCGTAAATCATACAGGGTGTTCAAAATTCTACGCCAAACTTTCCAAAATATAAAATAATTTTTCTTTGTTTTTTGAAATGAAACACCCTGTATATTAGTTTTTCAATAGATGGAGAATTAAAAAATGAACATTTTTTGTACTTTGTACTAGGTGAACCTCTTTTTGCAACAGCTGTAGCATCTCCCCTCTCTTATTCCTCCGTAGTCGGAGTTGTATCATATTAAGGCGGGGCTTAGGCGAAATCTCCTGTCGCATTCGCATGAAGTCGTGGAGACCCGGTAGGCTTAGATGTTAAGGGGATATTCCGGATATTTCATAAGGAGATATATCACATTTCGTTAAGGGGATATTTCATATGATTCATTATACGTAGCATTTAAAACTTTTATATGAAAATTCAAAAAACGTTTAAAGCAAATTGGAAACATTTTTCGGGCTGGTCCGAGATTATTAAAAATGATATAACCGGTTGTATTTAGATTAGAACACGCCACAGAAATAAAAGAATCCGAAATAAGAAAGCGCGTTATTTTAATCGGTGCAAGACGATACAACAGATATTACAGAAAAGTCTCTGTGCTATTTAAATTCGATAGGTTAATAAAAGCGGCTAAGTCAAATATCTTTGCGAATTTTATTTTATGAAATATTTTTAAGACATTTTTCATGTTTGAAATGCATTAAAATTTATAGTAGAGATTCCATGAAAAATAAACGTTTATCGCCACTTGCCTTACTTTCAATCTAAAAAGATCTTTTCAAAGTTCTTCAACAATCTGATGATTTTACTGATATAAGAATAAATAACTTTTCTTTATTAAGAGACCGACTCGTCAATTTAATATATAAAACATAATTATTCTTTCTCTCAATACTACCAATTTTTAAGTTTGCGTAAATAAATAAAAATAATTATTATGTAAATTAGGGGGGGGGGGCAAATAGACGCAACTAAAATTTTGTCGCCTACCCAGTCACACGGGTCACGAGCCGCCACTGCCTTAATTTTGCTACTACCACCCAAAAATAGACTACTACCACCTTAATTTTGCTAGTACCACCCAAAAATAAACTACTACCACTTCAATTTTGCTACTACCACCCAAAAATAAACTACTACCACTTTAATTTTGCTACTACCACCGAACAATAAACTACAACTACCTTAATTTTGCTACTACCACCCAAAAATAAACTATTACCACCTTAATTACCATTACTGTAGGTATAGTGTTTGGACTCGCATCACCGCAGTAACAATACAGTGATGTATATGGTTTGGTTCTTCAGTGAAATCTTCTAAGGTAGACAGGATTTTGCAATTTTCTCTTCATTTCTTTGTGTACTATATTACGCAGCTTTGTCGGGTATAAGAGCATTTTCTGATTTTATTTAAAAAAAATGTCAATTATTGTTGTTTAACAGTGTACCTGAGATTTTCACCGCATTTCAACACTTGTTTCTCGCACTCCCTGTACATCGGCAGCTCAACACGAAAAACCACTTTCAAAACTGAACTTAATAAAAAGGTTTGCAAGTTGAACAATAAGTCAATGGGGTCTAAACTAGTAGAAGGTAGAGTTATAAAATAGTTAATAAATATTTTGCTTTTTGAAAAAACAATCTCTTCTAAGTACTTAAAACTTAATCCTAGATTTGCAATGCAAACCATAAAAGAATTTTTAGAATCGCAGTGTTTAATTTATTTAATTTTGTTTGTTTTCTTACTCCTGATATTTTTGTATTTTATTTTTATGTTGCTTATGGTAGTGGTAGTGGTAGTAGCAAAACTATAGTGGTAGTAGTTTATTTTTGGGTGGTAATAGCATATTTAAAGTGTTAGTAGTGTATTTTTGGGTAGTAGTAGCAAAGTTAAGGTGGTAGTAGTTTTATTTTTGGGTGATAGTAGCAAAATTAAAGTGGTAGTAGCCTATTTTTGAGTGGTAGTAGCAAAATTAAGGTGGTAGTAGTTTATTTTTGGGTGGTAGTAGCAAAATTAAGGTGGTGGTAGTAGCAAAATTAAGGTGGTGGTAGTTTATTTTTGGGTATTAATAGCAAAGTTAAGGTGGTAGTAGTCAATTTTTGGGTGGTAGTAGCAAAATTAAGGTGGTAGTAATTTATTTTTGGGTGGTAGTAGCAAAGTTAAGGTGGTAGTAGTTTATTTTTGTTTATATTTTAAAACTGATGTACAATCAACGTTACATCTTAAATTCTAATCTCAAAAAGAAATTTTAAATTTGGTCAGTGAAATAGGCACCCCCGCTACTGGTGGAAGACTCACCAGGCATAGGCACTAGGGTGGGACAAAAAAATTGACTATTTAAAAATTTTGAAATAGCCTGAGATTTCGCCTAAGCCCCGCCTTAATATGATACAACTCCGACCATGGAGGAATAAGAGAGGGGACATGCTACAGCTGTTGCAAAAAGAGGTTCACCTAGCCGCCCGCCATCTTAGATTGTGGTACTTTTTGTAATTTGTGCATTTTTCTCGAAATTTAATGTTTTTCATCGATAATTTGAGTGTTTTCTATTACAAAAACATTTAAAACCATGGTGTTGTGTGCTGTACGCAGTTGTAGGAGCAGGAAAGGTATCGACTCGAAGAAACTCACCCGCGTAATATTTCACAGGTTAGAAAAACAGTGTGCAGGTCCGTAATGACCGAATTAACGAAAGAACATTAATTAGTATTTTATGCCTATTTTAAGTTTGATGTAGTAATGCCAAGTAATTTGTTCATTGCGATACACACGATTAATATTACACAATGATTTTACAAGGCAAATTTTCATCATTGTTTGTTTTATTATTTGAGTTTATAATCAGAAATTTTTGTCAAAGGTACACACAGCCCCGCCAAACAACAGTGAGACTGTTTTATCTACAAATACGTGGCGGCCCTTGACTCCGCTTTCTTATTCCTCCGTGACTCCGACTTACGCGTCGCGTCACTACCGCACGATGAGTTAGACAGAGACAGAAGACTGCCGTACGTCGTGCATCGACTCTGATAGTAGGCGATGTAGAAATCGCCGAACAAAGGCACTACAAAATTATTTTGTTTACTAACGCAGCGGCACAGTCAGCGGTCAGCGTACGCCAGCGGTAGTGAATATGTTAATAGCGTTAATACACAAGACTACAAATATTAAAATAATATTGATTATTAAAACACACTTCCGTGTATTAACAGTATTTTTATGTATTGGCAACATTAATAGTAAATAATGTAATGTAATAAATCGCTTAAATTCTGCCAAAATCTTAGGGTAGGCGCCGCCTACCTTGCCTACCCTGACGAGCCGCCACTGAATTAAGGTTGTAGTTGTACGTATTTAGATAGTAGTAACGTATATAAGTCAGTAAAAGTAGGTATTAGGGCACTTTGGACAGACAGACCGTGACGTCATCATCCGTGACATCATCAATGACGTCATCGTTCGTGACGTCATCAGTGACGTATAATAATGACGTCATCATCTGTCAAACCTGTTATCTGTCAAATACGTCATCTGTCAAACCTGTCATTTGTCAAATACGTCATTTGTCAACTGTCATCTGTCAACTGTCATTTGTCAACTGTCATCTGTCAAATACGTCATTTGTCAATACTTTTTTGCCCCAGGGTATTTTTTTAGGGGGCCTGTGCCAAAAAAGCCTAAACAATGGGCCTGCGCAATGTTGGGGGGGGGCTTGTGCCAAAAAAAGCCTAAACAATGGGCCTGCACCGGCCTAACCAATTCTTTTAAATATTTTGTTTTTTTTTTTTTTTTTTTTATTTTTTTTTGGGGGTGGGGGGGCTTGTGCCAAAAAGCCTAAACAATGGGCCTGCACCGGCCTAACCAATTCTTTTTAAATATTTTTTCCTTTTTATTTTTTGGGGGCTTGTGCCAAAAAGCCTAAACAATGGGCCTGCGCAATGCGGCCTAATCAATTCACAAAAAATATACATAAATAATGAAGCCCCCCAAACATATTATTATTTGCTCACCCCGTATATGGAATACACTCTTACGTAAAGCGCTCGCCCAGCCTGATAATTAATTCTTTAGATTCCATATTTCAAAGTGCGTGAGAAACAACTTAATAACATAATTTTCTGTCCAGGTTATTCAAGATCATATATTATAAGTATTTTAAGAAAACAACAACATATTTTGTAATACGCATTTATTTAACATATGTTTTATAATTATTATTTTTATATTAAACTTTTTTTTTTTTGAAGAAAAAATATTGTTAGTTATTTTTTAAAATAATTATTTTTATATTTTTAGTAATACCTTAATTTCTTGTTTTATATTGACCAGCCAATTTTTCCTTTCATTTCTTGAAAGGAACGGCGGCGGTGGATCTTAATGGCTCTAATTGATTGGTTCTCAATGCCTCGTTGAAGTCGCTATTATAATTTTCTTCTCTCTTTTTGTACTT